ACTATATATATATATATATATATATATATATAGTGTGCTGGAATGTTGTTAGGGAGGTCTGAGTGTCGAGCCGCGATATGCCGCTGAACACACTCCGTCTGCATTTCAAAAAAGCAAATTTTGAAGAGATGCGACAAGAGTTATCTGTTGTGAATTGGGTAGCTGAGTCATTTGGAGACACTAATTAAATGAGGGAAAATTTCAAAGATATATTTTTAAATATTCAATGTAAACATATTCCTAATAGAAAGAAAAGTGAAAAAAACAGGTTGGCTCACAAAGAGTTTAAGACATAAAATTAAAGAAAAGCATCATAAATTTAAATTGACTGGTATGACGGGAGACTTAGGATATTATAGAAAATCAAGAAAGTTGGTGAAACAGGAAATGAGGACATCAAAAAGGATGTATGAGAAAAAGTTGGCTGAAAATGTAAAAATTAAAATTTAAGCTGTATTCCACATCTTGGTTAGTTGATAAATGGAAACGAGATAAACAAGATGACTGCATTAATTCTGAGCTGGTTAAGAAAAAATTGGGAAGTTTTAAAAATGATAAGACTCCTGGGTCAGATAATATTTCCCCAAGGGTTTTGAAGGTGGTTAAAGATTGGATATGTGAGCCATTTGCTACTATTTTTTGCCAGTCCTTGAACAGTGGGCAGGTACCAGAGGAATGGAAGTAACTAATGTAACTCCCCTTTTCAAGGAAGGTGATAAGAATTGTCCCAGTAATTATAGACCCATTAGTCTTACATCGCTTGTGGGAAAAATTGTGGAAAGTCTGTTAAAAGATGCTTTACAAAGTCATTCAACAAAGTTTAGAATTTTATTGGATAGTCAACATGGTTTCACTAAGGGAAAATCTTTGCCTTAAAAATCTTTTAACATTTTTTGAAAAGGTTAGTGCTTATGTAGATGAAGGTAAGATGTAGGTTTGGTGTATCTGGATTTTCAGAAAGCATTTGACAAGGTGCCACATAAAAAGCATGTAAATAAATTATCTCTATAGGTGTGGGGGATAAGTTAGCAAATTGGATAGAAGAGTGGCTGGATGGAAAAAAGCAGAGGGTTGTTACAAATGGAGTTCAGGCAAACTGGATTAATGTCACAAGTTGGGTACCCCGGGGCTCAGTCTTATGACCTCTGCTCTTTTTGATTTACTTCAACGACATAGATGAAGGGATAGTCAAATAGTCAATAAATTACTTAAATGTCCAGATGATATTAAGGTCTTGGGTGTTACTAGCTGTGAAGAGGATGCTGCTGATTTACAAAAGGATTTAGATCATTTAGTGAATTGGGCAAATAAATAGCAGATGGGTTTTAATTATAATAAATGCAAGATAATGCATGTGGGTTATCATAATTTGAACTCTAAGTATAATTTGGATGGGAATAGCCTTAATCGTGTTATGAAAGAAAGGGATCTTGGTGTAATATTCGATCAGTCTCTTAAGCCATCCAAGCAGTGTGCTGTTGCTAGTGGTGGAGCAAATAGGATTTTAGGTTGTATCTATAGAAATATTGAATATAAGTCTAAAGAGGCTATAATTTCATTGTACAGGTCACTGGTTTGGCCACGTTTGAAATATTGTGTTCAGTCTTGGGCTCCTTACCTTAGGAAAGACATTGAATTATTGAAAAGGGTTCAGAGAAAGGTTACTAGAATGGAGGGGTTGTCATACGACGAGAGGCTGAAATCTCAAATTGTTTTCTCTTGAAAAAAAGAAGAGTTAGGGGGGATCTGATTGAGGTGTTTAAGATTGTAAATGGAATTGATAGTGTTGATGTATCATTTTTTTATATTTAACACAGAGAATTGTAGAACTAGGGGACACAAATATAAATTTTGGCAAGGTATGAGTCATCTTCAATTAAGACAGTTTTATTTTTCTGACAGGGTGTTGGCCTTTGTAATGGGTTGCCTTCAGATGTTGTAGAGGCAGTAAATTTAAGTGAGTTTGATAAAAAGCTTGATAAGTATATGAATGGAAAGGGTTGGGTTTAAAATTTTATTTTTATTATTCGATCATTTCAATTTAGTTTTGAGGATGGAACAGCCGAGATGGACAAATAGGTCCCATGTTGTTTCAAAATATTATGTTATGTTATGTTAATTGTGGAAGCATTATAATTGTTACAGTAAATTCAGCTATTCATGTAAGAGTATTCAATAAGTAAATGTGCTATTGTTTATATGTCCTCACTATTGTCAGCATTTCGAAATTAAGGATAGTCATATCTGAGCCTTAGTGGTTCTCGACCTAACATAAGGTTCTATAGAGGTTAAAGATACCTACACAAATCCTCACTACTTCTACGACTAGATTTCAGAATGCACACTGGTATTAATATTTTTATAGACTGGATAAGTTTGATTGTAATTTAAATGTTAGCCAGAGGACGCATGAAGTTAATACCAAATTATTCCTAGAATATTGGGAATATTAAGAAACGGAGCCTCTTTGCGAAATATCTAGAACAAGAATTAGATTATGAATATGGGTGAGCCAATGAATTGGCTAATGAAGCTTGCAGTAAAATAATTTAGCATCAATAAGATGGAAGTTGTTTTCTAGCCAGTAGAGTGAATCAATCAACGTGTTTATGCTTTTTGGACCTGTATTAGCATTAGCGATTATACATATTGAACTACTTTGCACAAGCAAATTGATTATCATGTTAATACAGATAGCTTGGCCCAGAATTTAGGCCTACAACAAGTTACAAAGGGTGCAAGTCTGTAAAGAAACTTTAAGGAGGAAATATAAATAATTTGTTATTGTTACGTGTACTGGACGTTGAATTATTTTCACTATGTAATTTAAAAGAACCCTTTCAATGAAAGGACAATATGTTATCTTTAGAAATTATCTTGTCAGTTGTTGATAGCTACAACTGAATTGTATGTGTTGTATAAACTTAAAAACTTAAAAGTATACATTTTCGGTCATCAATATTTGTCGCATCTGAGTCTTCAGTTAAATAAATATTTAAATAAACTCTCATAAATTTATCAAGTGGATTTTCCATGAAAACAGTTATCATTGCTACCTCTTCTGCTTCAAAAATGAATACAGATGCTATTAAAAGTATTGTCGCAAATCAGTTGATAAACAATTGAAAGCTTATTGGGACACATGGTTGGATGAAAAACTGTTTCTAATACAGCAAAAGCGCTACAAATAAACACTTATTGCTGTTAACAATAAGTTTTCTCCAATTTTAATGTATGTCTGAATCACTTATAAGGGCAAAACATCTCCTATTATGATTAAAACCATGCTATACGTGTATATACGCGATTATCTTTTACACACCGCTCTAACTAAACCTGATTACCTTGACAAGAAAATCATTAACTGGTTTGTTAACAACTATAATGTCGAAATATTTTCCTCCAACATCAAGAACTTAAGCCAAGTTTTCCTTGTTAGGAAAACTTCTTTTTCTCCCGTTTGAACGTAGTTATTCTAAGGTCGATGATATGGTATAACTTCAGTAACGAATACTCAAATCCATGTTTCTTCTTTGTATAAAACAGACATTAACTTTCCTCAACATTTACTGTCACTTTTGTGGACACCAGTCTGGTAACGAATAGTGCTTCTTCAAAAAACCCACAATGGATTTGTTTTATTCTCCTACATTGCGACCCCTTTTTCTGATATTTATCTGCATAGTGTTATATTTCAAGTCCGGGCTAGCAGCAGAATCTCATTCAAGTATTAAACGTAAGTATACATATATAAGTTTTCTTTATACGATGCTATAATTTCATACCCTACCTTGGATACAGATGTAACTGAAGTGTAAAACGTCTTCCGAAATAAAAGTTTTTTTTTTATAACGCATTGTTATTTACAAACAGTTTTGTGTGTGTGTGGTCTCCATTAAATAAATTAATGCTATAAAGTTTAAAAGCTTATCCATGAAATCCCTTTTGTTTATTGGAAAGTATCATGCTGCCGTTGCACACTAAAATCGTGCACGTGGCTAAATATGATGTATCTAGAATCTAGATTCTAGATCATGTAAAATTTCAGCTTGAATACTATTAAACTATATTTCTAACCACTGTTATTTAAAATTTCGTATAAAAAGCAACTGAAATAAACCACAAATAAAAGGTAAAGAATGTGAAAAATATAAAAATGAAAACAAATAAAGAGTATGTGTTTTAAACCTCGCAATAAAACTAAATACAGTTTGTTTCGGATGTTCGTGTAAAGCTACATTAAGGGTATGTGTACTAGCCGTCTCCACTTTTGAACTGATAGTCTAGAGGGAAGGCAGGCAGTCAACAGCACCCACCGCCATTTCTTGGGCTTTTATAATCGAATAGTGGGATTTGTCTATTATTTTCATAACACTCCATAACCTCAAAGTGTGGAGCGCGATATTCCAAGGTTTCAACTTATGTAGAGCATACAAGTTACATTATCATTGCAAAATGGGGCTCAAGGATCCTCTTTGGGAAAGAACAAGTGTAATTTCTCGTCGGTTGAATGAACGTGACAAAATACAGTACGAAAACGAGCAAAAAACAAACACGTTATATGCTGTAGAGAAGAAAGAGAAGCACTGCTAATCATTTAGCGGAAAAGACTATTATGTTAGTGGACTGAACGTATAATAACTAGTTAAAGTTACAAAAAATATAAGGCAGATATTTAAATGATAAAAGAAATATACTGAACTGGATTTAATATAAAAAAGAAATTGAAATAACCTTAAATTCAAAATAATTGAAGACTACTGGTGATATTAAAATTGGCTGAATAAATGATTAGGGGATGATAATGGAAGACAAGGACTAAACTTCACTATATGTCTTCGGTCCCCTTGGTGGCAAGAACGATAATCTCGTGTTCCCATCCATTTCTTGAAATAATACTTTAGAGAGTTTGTAAAACAATCGAGGAATTACGCTATAAAAACTATGTGCTTCAATGTGCATATACTGATCCAAGATGTTTCTTACACGTGTCTTAAAATTACATAATTTTTCCTTAGGGAATTTGTGTAAAGGTTTAATGAGTCGTTTATAATTTCCATCATTTTCCCAAGTTTACAAACTGTACAATAAGGTACAAGGACGTCTGCACATTCTACAGAAGAAAAACATGTCATAATATTCATCTTTGAGATTTTCATCAGTGTTACTGGAATTCATATTTTATTGCTCCCCCCCCCCCCCCCCCTTTGAAGTGAAGCACAAAGCTACATAATGGGCTATCTGTGCTCTGTCCACCACGGGTATCGAAACCCGGTTTCTAGCGTTGTAAGTAACAAACAATCATATTTTATTAGGAAAATAGATGGCCATACATTTCTCAGCAAAACTGGGCAACGAAAACAGAAAATATACAGGCAAAATGCAAATCGAATAATAATTATTTAATATTGACACACTTTAATAATGATGCACTGATTGAAATAATTTTTATGTTAAGGTTGGGAGTGCTTTTGGCCGTTAAATGTTTTTTGTAACTATGTTCACCCTACACTTGGAATTGCACATAAGATATTTATTTTAGTATTCATTGTTCAATATTCTTTCTGCTAATGTTTTTGACATTGCTATTATTTTATAAATAAAGTGATATGTTGAAATTAAATTGCAAATGTAATACTTTATTTTTCTGTGAAGTGGTTTTGCATATTGTGTATCATTTAATGTCAGTATTATTACAAATGCTTTATATAAACCTTATAAATATATAAAATAAATTATGGTTTTACTTGTTGACGCGTGAAAACTGATCTTCAGCTAAATCCCAAAAAATGTTGACTCGTAAACCTATCTTTGGGAAAGGAGGGTTTCCGAAAAAAATTACGTTTTGTACACTGTAAAAACTATGACAATTATACACGGGCTTTTTCTATGTTAAAATACTTTTATTTGCGAGCTTTTGACCCTCTTACCGGAGCCTTCATCGGGCAACAATGAAGTGAGGGATAAAAATTCGTTAAACTGTGGAAAACTGCTTTAAAATAAGTATCTAGGCAACAGGTAACAATAACTGACATCTGGTATTAAAGTTATTAAACATATAGAATTAAGGCGAATAAAAAATATAAATCGATTGCTTCGATATATAAACATAAGGAAAATACAATTATAGGTATTATATAGAGAACTAAAAAAATTCCTTGTTACCCGATGAATGATCCAGTAAGAGGGCCGAAAGCTCGTAAATAAAAGTATTTTAACGTAGAGAAAAGTCCGTGTATAATTCTACATAGCAAACAGTTAATTTTTTATATAGTAAAGTGGATCAAACTTGTCTAGTTTCCAGATCTTGAAACTGCAACAAGTAAGGTGGCGTTGATGCAACAGAAAGGCATAAGTTTCCGAAGTAAATTCAAAAATGCATCGATTAACAGGTGAAAAAACAACAACAACAACAAAACAATATCCTCCTGTCTAAATGAAGACAAACGTTTTTACAGGAGTTTTATTTTTAGTTAGTATGGTACTGGTTGACCTTGTGGTAAAGCTATGGATTTCGGAGCTGAGAGTCGATTTCTAATCTGTTCTATCCCACAAAATATTCCCCATGCTTTGTAAGAGTGATAGTCAATCCCTTAGCATGGATGGTGGGTGATAGGCACTGGCTGTAGTTCGAAATTAGCGATGCCGGTAGGTAACCTTAATAGCTTTGCTATAAATACAAAATGCAAATACAAGTTCAAATAGCAAGTATATCGTTTCTTGCTCTACACTAAACCATCGACACTGGAACAATTTCTGTAGGGGGTGTATTGTAAATCACTGAACAAAATCGAAATATCTGAATATGATAAGAACTATCTCAAGCCATGGGATGCTGCTGCACCCTAGAAACCGCACACTTGCACTAAATCATCTTCTTTAGGCCAAAAAGTCTCACCGTGGATGGAGCGTCATTAATATCCACACACACACACACACAATCTACTAGGAGATAAAAGTATAAACGATCTTAATACAATATTGTTTTTTGTTTTTTTCGTTTTTAGGTGAAGAAAAGTGCTACGATGACCTTGGATGCTTCGAAAATGGGGGTCATTTTTATGACCCTTTCATTCGTCCCCTCGATGTCCTTCCTGAAGCTCGTGATGTAATTGACACGAAGTTTCGATTGTATACAACCAAAAATAAAGACGACGGCGAAAATCTTGATGTAGACGATAAAGGTAGTATAATAACTTCTAATTTCATCCCTTCAGCAGAAACGAAAATATTGATTCACGGATACGCAGGAAGTTTATCTGGTGAAAACTGGCTAGAGGTATGAAACAAAAAAGATTACTACAATTCAAAATGAAAAATTATTGTAAGCCCACAACTCGTGTACCTGCTTGTATCTACAGATAATTCTAACAGAAAGAAAAAAAGCATAAGGAATCGGTAATTTTTCTAAGGTGATTTTCTTCAGTAACTCACACAGAAAAGTGACTTCTCTCGATTTCTCTATAAAGAAATGTATCCAACCCTTTAGTTTTGTGCAAAGAAAAGTGTCGTCCTCTAAAAATTGGGTATTTATAATTATATACTGAAGCTTACTAAATCAGTTTGTAAAAATATATATTTCGTAGCAGTTGTTCTGTCTACATGAATGTTTTTGATACTGATAACACTCTACAAACATGTTCTAACGGTTTCTAACAGTTCTTTTTGACTATTTGGTAAAAATAATGCAAAGTCCAGTCCACTTAACGATAATGAAGGCGATTTATTTCTTTGACTGTAAGGTTCAAGTTCTACAGGTTGCATTTGTTGATAGGCGTAATTCACAAATAAAACTAAATAGACACTCAGTGGCGCTGGAACAACTTATGTGATGTGGGTGCTGAAAACCATTGAACAGAAATGTAAACCATTCAGCCAATGGAAAAACGGATCCATACTGTAAGTCGGGGGGAAGGGGGTACCGTGCCTCCCATGCTATTGCAATCACTTACTCGTTAAATTTCCTTCCGTATCTACAATACAAACTCAAAATTGGTTGACTAAAACACTCAATAATTAATCGATAACAGGGTAGCAGATTCACTAACTGACTGACTGGCTCACTGAATAACCATCTAATTAACAAACTGACTCACTCATGTTTTTGTTTTCTTTATTTATTACAATATTTGTTTTCCCAAAATCTCAGGAAAATTCGAGACGTCACGTCAAATCTAGACTCTCAGAAAACTTCTAGGTGTCAAACATCACTACTTCTTACCAACTCTCTCTTGCAAATAAAAATCTAAATTAAAATATTAAAATTGCAACCTAAAACAATATTTATTCTTGATACCATTAATTACCTTAATGACAAGGGATATCCAGCAGGGCAATGGAATTGAAAAAAGAAAAGGCTCAACATTTACAGTCCTATTTTTTAGATTACAATCATGATTATGGATTTTGGACACACACGTTCACAAAACTAATTGACCTTATTTTTTAAAACGGTGATCAACATTCGAACAATAGAGGGTATAATCACAATAAATATTATTGATCATTATTCTAACTTTATTTTCTTACGCATAAAAGATATCTACTCGATGGATACCTACCCCAATTAATGAACTAGTGCAGTGATACCTTAACATTTCCGCAGACTGAAAACTTTGACTTTGCTCCTACATGTATAAATACTCCTCATCCATTTTCTCTCTGGTTAGTACCCAAAGTAATTCATTTCCTGAAGCAAATATACATTTCTTATATTATTAAAATAATTGATTCATATTCAAACATTCCTATCAGTTGGTTTCAGGCAAAAATTATTTGCCAGTTCATTCTGATTGAGATTTATAATATGAGTTAGATATAGATACAATAATTATTTAGTTACACTCAAATATGTTTGTTTCTGACATGCACTAGACATTTCTGAGCAGGTTTTTTAGACCAACGTAAATTATATTTAAGGATTAATCTTTAGTATATTTAATATATTAGGTTTTACTTTGTAATATGAATTATTTTCATGTCACATGACTAAGTCCTGTATTTAGAATAGGGTATATTTGTTGTTTAATACTTAACGTTAAATTGCGGGAGAATTTTATATGTCTAAATAATGATCACTTCCTAAATAATTAATCATAGATTTATTGACCATCTATACACATCCAAAGAAAATACAAAAACAAAATAAAATGAAGAAGATGTCTCAGATTTTAACTCGTTTAGGTTGAATGTCGGTTTTACCTAGTATGCTTTTGAAAATGGCAAGTTCTTCTTCTACTAAACGGTTGTTTCTATCAAATTTGATTATTTTGTCATGGGTTACATTATTTACTGTGTTACGTAATTTGTATTATTTAAAAAAAATGTATATATATATATTTAAAGAAATATCGCGATGTAATCCTGGTTCAGCAGATAATGTCGTGTAATCCATACTTAAATAGATAATGTATTGTAATTCATATTTCAATAGATACTGAGGTGTAATTCGTGTTTCAATAGATGTTCATGGGTAATGTATGTTTCAATTGAAAATGTAGTGCAATTTATGTTCCAATAGATACTATAGAGTAATTCGTGTTTCAACTGGCGCTCTTGTGTAATTCATGTTTCAATAGATATTATGGTGTAAATCATGTTTTAGTAGATACTGTAGTTTAATTCATGCTTTAGTAGTTGCCATGCTGTAATCCGTATTTGAATAACGACGTGTAATCGTGTTTCATTATATACTTTCACGTAACTCATGTTTCAATACTGTAGTGTAATTAATGTTTCAATAGATATTATGGTGTAAGTCATGTTTTAGTAGATACTGTAGTTTAATTCATGCTTTAGTAGTTGCCATGCTGTAATCCGTATTTGAATAACGACGTGTAATCGTGTTTCATTATATACTTTCACGTAACTCATGTTTCAATACTGTAGTGTAATTAATGTTTCAATAGATACAGTGATATAATTAATATTTTATTAGATGAGCAGTGTAATCCATGATTCAATAACTACTAAGTTGTAATTTAAGCTACCGTGCAGTAGTTCAACAGATACTGTGAAAGTATTTATTTGATCTGGTAAACAGTGATATAAAAGAATAAGTACTGTGATATCATTCTCGTCATGTTTTCAGTAGATACTATCGTAGTTTGTTATTTTTTCAAGAGATTTTTTCAGTAGATACTGTGACTTTATTCATATTTACTTTTGTAATGTGCCCTTTTTTTAACAATAATACATCTATTATCTAACGTGTTATAACAGGAATTGCTGTTTAAAATAGGTAACTTGATAATAACTTAAGCAATTTTTATGGTTCTCTCAGAGAGGTAGAATATACATAATTAAGGTATAAGTTATAACAAAAAATAAAAAGTACGGTTTTCTTTCTATAATCATTAATATAACGTGGTACCACGTACCTAATTGCTAAATATAAACTAAACCATATCCGACCCCCTAGTGACTGAGTGCTAAGTCTGAGGATTTATAACACTAAAAGTCGGGTTTGATACCCATGGTGGGCACAGCATTTATAGCCCATTATGTTTTTTTGTGCTTAACAACAAACAAACTAAACTATAGCCATCAAGTGTTTACACTTTTACATTCTTTTTTTGTGTGTGATTTTTTATTAGGAGGTGAAAGACAAGTATCTTGAGAAGAAAGATTATAATATTATAGTTATAGATTGGACCAAGGGTAATGCTGTTCCATTTTATCAGGCAGCGGCTAATGCGAGACTAGTTGGTGCAGAGCTGGCTCTTCTTATACAAAAGTTACAGGTATGTCTAATTTAACAAAAACGAAACTATTTTGACCTCTGATTAATTTGTTGTGAATTATAAGTTGTTATTTAATTTATTTACACTACAATATCTTGCTTATCAAAAACATAGATGTTTTGAAATTTCCCCCGGTGACTCAGCGGTAAGTTTGTTTGTTTGTTTATTTTAGAACAAAGCCACATTGGGCTATCTGCTGTGCCAATCAACGGTATTCACATCCAGGATTTTAGCGTTGCAAGTTCGTAAACTTGCTGTCCCACCGAGAACTTCAGCAATAAATCTAAGAGCTAATTATGCTAAAAATCGGGTTTCAACACGCGCGATGATAGCCCACTGTGTAACTTTGTGCGTAATAGCAAACAAACCATGCTGTGATAATCTAATTGTATATATATATATATTTAACTGTTTTCTATATGAAACATAATGTTTTATTTAACGTTTCTAGTCCAAACCCTAGTGGCTAATTTTTTCACAGGAACTCATAGGGATAAAACAAACCCTAGTGGCTAATTTTTTCACAGGAACTCATAGGGATAAAATAAACCCTAGTGGCTAATTTTTTCACAGGAACTCATAGGGATAAAACAAACCCTAGTGGCTAGTTTTTTCACAGGAACTCATAGGGATAAAACAAACCCTAGTGGCTAGTTTTTTCACAGGAACTCATAGGAATAAAACAAACCCTACTGGCTAATTTTTTCACAGGAACTCATAGGGATAAAACCAGAGGACGTTCACATCATTGGTCACAATCTGGGGTCCCAGGTTGCTGGATACGCTGGAGAGCGGATTGAGAAACTGGGGAGAATAACAGGTACAGGATCGTAACTAGAAATTCTTCGTGGTTGTTTCTTTTGTGAAGATGAGATATTATCTTACAATGGAGTTTCTTGTGTAGCTTTGTCTAAAACGACAACAACTGCTTTCTAGAATGTCTCAGGCGGGAGTTTAAGGATATTCCCCTAGAAAAAATATAAAAATCTAGATTCTCTGAGATACATTTTAAGGTTACTTAGGAAAAACACGCGACCTCTTATCAAGCACTGAAATATTAATCATTTTAATAGTGCATTGATAACATCAACTATTTATTTCTAATATTAATTTTAGATAACAATCCGTTACTAAATTGCTAAACACCACTATTGCCGATGGAACTCATTCCATAAGCCAATTTCCCTGTTAGTAAAATAAAACTGTTGGTTCTGAAGTTAGACTGACTTTTCTAAATCTGAAACTTGTGTCCTTTCGTCCAATTGTCTTTAGGACACTGCATAAAGCAACCAGAGACATTTTATCCTATCCTTCTCTCGAAAAATCCTGTAAACTTCAGTATTCTCGACGTTTATATTATTGTTTGGTCAGAGGGGGTATTGACAGCATGTGATGAGCGCTTGGCTTAATGTCTGAAATGTTCTCCAAAATATTAGAACAGTATAAGCAGTATAAACCACTACATTATTATGTTAGTGAGCCTGCTAGTAAGCTGAATTGAGTCTGGAGTAATGTGTTATTATTTAATTGAGTCTGTCAATCGTTGATTCAAACTTGGAATACCAAGATTGTGTTCTCGACTAAGTAGTAAGAGATACACCGTACGATTTGTTGAGCGAGAGAAATTAGAAAGTATGTGAAGTTGTTCTATTAGCGTATTTTGGGAATTTTGGCCTATCAGTAAACGTTAGAATTTGTATTCGAAGAAACAAAGCGCTTTCTTGGATTAGAGTTTATGTTTTTCTTTTTTATCAAGTAATTCAAAGGATCCGCCGAACAATAGAAATCCATTACAACAGTGGTGTCAGAAGTTGCGTTATTTAGGTTCGAATAAAAACGAATCCAGATCAAACTTCAAGATGTCGATATGTACTTGAAGTGAGATTGAAAATTTAAAAAAAAGATGAAACAATAGAAAGAAAATCAAGAAGTGGGAGACAAAAATGAAAATAGATCAAACAGAAAAAAAAGAGACAGAAAATTAAAATAAGGTCAAAAAAAAAAAAAAAGAGATAGAAGGTTAAAAAAATAATCGTAAGAATAATGTAGAAAAATTACATACATGAGTTGACCAAAGACAAGACTGATCGAGGAAGCATAGAAAATGTGCAAAGGGATATTAGTGATATAAAAACGAAATTTGAAAATGATATGAATGAAGATAAAAGAAAAGTAGAAAACAACATTAACGAAGAACAGAAAGTTATAACTATTAAATCAAAGAAGTTCAAAAGGACAGCAGTGAAGTACAGAAGTATTGTAACATCAAAATCGAAGAAGCCATAACAAATGTACAAAAGGACATCAACTCTAAAACAAAATATCTATAAACTGAACTGGCAAATACAAGGATCAAACCAGCCACACTATTCTCTGCATCTGCTCAAGTTTTTTCAATCTCAATCATAATCAACTATATCATATGGAATAGGAAGCCAAACTGGCCTACACCAGTTACTAATACTACTGTGCCATCTATAACTATTCCAGATATAACAATACTTTATCAATTTACGGAATTTAGTAGCTCAATTCAACAGTATCGTCCTACTGGAAGATCAACAAGTTATAATGGAAAGGTGTCATGAGAGGCATATCAGGCAAATTTAAATAATTTACAAGGTAATGAGGAGAGTAATGGATAACAAGCTATCTATTCTTCTCACTGCACATTTGAAAGATGTCGCTTTGATTAACAGCATTAAGTAATATTCTAACAGAAAGCTTTCACAATTTTCAAGCATTTGTAGTCGTCTTATTAAACATACTTGGATTGTCACATCGAAATAAATTAAAGTATAGGAACAGCGTAATGAGGAAGAACAAACATGCTGAAGAAGTTACATGGGGAATGATGGATACTTTGGGATACAACTAATTCATAGTTGCTGTAGTTAATGAGGATTATTGAATAAAGCTAAAGAAACTATCGAGTTCATGACGGAACTTGAAACAGTTAAAGGTGTAACTCCTCTGATGAAAATTTAGAATAACTCAAAGGATTGATTAGACAATTGTCTATACATAATGGAAGAAACATACGACAGGACAGAAGATCTTTCAATTGCACTTTAAAAGGGAGTATTGCTAGTAACTGCAGGCAGACAAAAGCCATCAATTAGATATGTGTTAACATAGAATGGATAGAGTAAACCATAGGACGAAGGGTGTTTCAATTACAACTTAAAAGAATATATTTTCAGGAACTGAAATAAATAATCGTTTCGAAAATAAAAACTGCTCTATAAGATGACAGGAAATGAAGACTGCTATAAGTGTGGACGAAAATGGCCATTACTTCTGAGATTGTACTGAATCAACTATTGATAATAACCAAAGGAGACAATATATTTACGATATTCTGAGTTTTGGCAAAAGGAAAGTAGGAGAAATCTCTCTCACCATAGGAGCGTTTATACACTACACAACATGTGGGTAATTTGGATTGAAGTGTCGATATTTGTAATTAAATTTATGCTGAAACACAGATGTGTGAGGTTTGACTTGCTCCAAAAATGATTGCAATATTTCCCTAGATATCTTTCTGATCTTCTCGACAATTACAATATCAGAACTTGAATTTACAGTGACAACAAGGATAAAAGTACACGATAATAAAGACAAAAAGTCTAAGTGCAAAAGAGCACAATACAGGAAGACAGGTGGTTCAAATAAGATAATCTTTGGAGGTATATCAGCAGGAGAATTGCCAACTAGTTAGCTTAAGAGAAGACTACCAGATACAGGTCCACCTGCTGGAGAGCACAAGGTCCCTGTATATATATCACTTCTAGAGTATCAACAGGGATGAAGCTACCAGTAGATTCTCTAGACTATCTATCTGAAAATAATTCTTCCAATGACAAGACAAATGTTGATAAAGGACAAGAGGTTATCCCATCTTCGTGCCTTAAGCCATGTAAAAGAAAACGACCAAAAATATAAACTGGCGACTGGACAGTTTAATAAGAGTAAATAAACAAAGTAAGAAAATTCAATTTTGTTAGCCAAATTTTTTATTGTACTTTGTTTCAAATATTTAATTAATGTCTGTAATGCCTCCATTTATGAATGTTAATATCTTAAATTGACAAAAAGTCACGTTATTGTTAATCATGGAAGTTTTAGTTTAATGTAACATTATTTTCTTTATGTAATAGGAATGTTCAAGGGACTTCTCAATCTATGGAGGATGCAGTGTTGTAGGCTTTGTTTGTTATATTCATTTAGACGTTTGTATTGTTTTTCGCTAAGGGTATTTTTATGTGATAAGCGCTTAGCCTAATGACTAAAATTTTCTTGAAAGTCTAGGGAATGATTTTAACGATATGAAACACATGTTAGGAGAAACTAGATAGTTTAATATTGTTGACTGATTAGTTACTTTGTTAAAGTACTTGATTGGCTATTGGAGAGCTAGCAAATTTGTTAGTCTGTTTATCTGTTACTTCAACTTCATGAAACTGAGTTTATGTCCCAACGAAGTAATAGAAATATGAGAAAACTGAACATACCAAAAATTGAGCTAGAAAGCGAGTCTGCTTAACATATTATTTGATTAATGTGACGGTCAATCCCACTATTCGTTGGTAAAAAGAGTAGTCGAAGAGTTGGCGGTGTCTTTCACTGCTAAATTAGGGACGACTAGCGCAGATAGCCCTCGTAAAGCTTTGCGCGAAATTCAAAACAAACCAAATAAACCATATTATTTGGGAAGTTAGGCCTATCGTTATTTAGCAAACCCGCATAAGTGTAGAACTTATAGACGAAAAAAATAGAATAAAATGTTTTCTTTAGTATCAAGTGAACTAGATTTTGCATTATCTTTCACTGGAAAATCCAAAAGAACCCACCCAACAATAAAAATTGTTACAACATCTCCTTTCATGATATAACATGGGATAACAAGTAACAACAGATAAGCCACGTTTTCAATCGTTTAAAAAATTCGACTTAGAAAGTTTGTAGAATCTTATAAATTTTTAAACAGAGTTGCCAATTTAGTTTCTCCAATTATCTCTTATTTGAACATTCGTTGAAAAATTCAGTGAAAAAGTATTTATTTCCATACATATTAAATTCGAGTAAAAAAACAACAAAAATAGTTGTAGTTAAGCACAAAGCTACACAATGAACTATCTGTGCTTTGCTTATCATGAGTATTGACACCCTCTTGCTAGCTTTGCAAGTCCGCTGACATACCGCTGTGCCTTTAGGAAACAACAACAAAATATCCAAAATATTATGCAGTTTTTGAAAATCGATAATCTTGGACATATTTTCATCCTTTCAAAACATACGGTCCGATATTATAAAAATTAAGACTTTAATCATGCGCTATAAACTATGAACTAGACGAACACTTCCTTCAGTACTTCTACTGCGTTCATTTTGTAATTTAAATATGAGTAATAAATAATATTTTATGTTATTCCAAGGAGACTGGACAATTACTCTGCAATAATTCGGATCTTCTCACAACTACATCTTCCTTCCAATTTTAAAACACCCCCATCCTCCGCCATTACCGTGCCAAGTTTAATATAAATTGAAATAAGGAGCAATGGCGACCAATATTTCTCTCGCGCTCTCTCTCTCTTTTTGATAAACGAGCACATGCGTATTCTTTTTTTTTTGTTTGTTTTTTAATGAAAGGGATTTACGTTCCAGCTTTAGACCCACCAGGACCGTATTTCACGAACACGGCTAAGAAAGTTCGGCTTGATAGGACCGACGCTGACTTGGTCGATGTAATCCACACGGATATCAGTGTATTTCCCATAGGTGAGTTTTAAAATTAAGTCGGCCTGGCATGGCCAGGTGGTTAGAGCGTTCGACTCGCAATCTGCGGGTCGCAGGTTCGATTCCCCGTCCCACCAAACATGTTCGCCCTTTCAGCCGTGGGGGCGTTATAAGTGACGTTCAATCCCACTATTCGTTCGTAAAAGAGTAGCCCAAGAGTTAGCGGTGGGTGGTGATGACTAGCTGCCTTTCCTCTAGTCTTACATTGCTAAATTAGGGACGGCTAGCGCAGATAGCCTTCGTGTAGCTTTGTGTGAAATTCATAACAAACCAAACCAATATTAAGACTTCTTTCAGTGATGTAAGAATGTAATAATAATACATGAACTCTAGTTAGGTGGTATAATGAAAAAAATATCCTTTCGGGAATAACATATAAATATTTGGTCGTCTGTAAATTAATGCCGCGTTTTGGAACATTTTCATCACCCCCCCCCCAAAAAAAAACCAACAACAAAAAAACAAATAAACGTACATCACGTATAATAGTTAAACGAACCACTTAAACGTCACGTTAGTGCAGTCTTTATAATGTGTAAAGTTCAGTACTTTGTAATTCCTTATAGTGATGGCACACGAAGAGACAAATATACGGCATGCAATGCTGTTTGAATACAAGAAGGGGAACAACGCCTCTGTAGCCACAAAGAATATCAAATAAGTTTATGGAAATGTTTTGAACGTTCGTATGTGTCAACGATGGTTCAGCAAATGTCGTTCAGGTGACTTAAACCTTAAAAATTGTGATGGTAGGGGCCATTGTTGTTATTGATATTGATGCTTAGAAGAAGTTTCCTGTCTCTCATTACACAATACGTAAACATCTAAGGAATGTGGGAAAACTCCATAACGAAGGTAATTGAGTGCCTCACGAACTCTTCGATGATCATCGTTTTCAACGTGTGAACGTTGCTTCATCTTCTCTGGCGCGTAATGCGCGTGAATCATTATTGGACAGAATTGTCACCAGTGATGAAAAATTGATTCTCTATGCGAATATTAAACGCCGAAACCAATGGCTCAGTCCTAGACAAAAAACACTTCCGACCGCAAAACCTGGATTCCATCCTCAGAAAATGATGCTTTGTATTTGGTGGGACATCAAAGTAGTAATTCATTTCGAACTCCTCAATTCA